GCACTGAAGGTAGATTTTATCTCTATTCGTTTTTATCCTTTTCTTGTGTCTAATTTTTTGTTCATCTTCAAACTTATTCTTAGTTCCCTGAGTGTGCAACGTTATAGCCTCGAAGTTTTACTGTGCGTGACGCTACGATGTTCTCTTCGTAGAATAATAATAATTAAACACACAGTACTGAGTTGAAAACAATCTCATTTTTAACAGTTGAACAGTTGAACTCAGTACTCAGTTGTACTTTCATTATTAGCGCATTTTTTCATTTATGAAAAAATGGCGCTATTGTGCTCGTAATGTCCGTCTGTCCGTGACTTCACGTTTTCATCGACGAGAAAATGCGCTCTCTGTCACTCACTCTCAGGAGTGAATGACAGTTCTGAGTTATATTTTTATTATTATTGAACGAATATTGTTCAATAATGAAAATTGTTTTGTTGGTTTCATGGGACTTATTACGTAAGTTCGTGTAATTGCGTACGGTTAGGGGTCATACTTTCAAAACTCGCTAAGTGAACGTAAGTACATGTACTTTATACGCTCTATTTTCTTGTCTATGATTGGTGGATTTGGCTTGAAAGGCTGTCAATGATTGGCTGATGAACTCACGATCTTTGACTTTTTTTGAAAGTGTGGTTCAGCTTGACAATGCAAATGTACGATGTAAAAATAAGTCTCGTGCAGCAGATGCCGCCGGCGACCATGACCTATGCGGCGACGGGCCATTCACATCCTCATGTGAATCGTATAGCTCGTAAACAAGCCTTGACTAAAAAGAAAGCAAAGCATCACGTATGTTTATTATAGTTGTAGGATACTCCTTTCCTGATTTCCGCCAAAAATTTAAAGCTCGATGTTTCCTGAATATTAAAAACTTTTGATAGATGTTATTATTGATAAATGAAGGTGTCTTCATTGAAATGAAAGTACTAACCGCTTTGAAAATTATTCTTGAAAAAAAAATGTACAAGAAGATATTGTCCATGACCACACTTTCTCAACAGAAGGCAGCTTGCCGTATATGGCTGCATGCGAGTTTAAATTCTCCGTCTTTCATCGTTCGATTTCTTCTACCCAGTCTCATGAGGTGCCCACTTTTGTGAACGCAGGAAGTGCCATGGTCTCTCGTGGCACTTCCTGACTCGTGCTTACTGATAATGAGAAATATTAAGCAGCATTTAGCAAATAAGTTGTCACATCTTCAAGTTTGTCAATCAGCTCTGTTTTATTCGAGGAAAATACGCTTATCTAATTGTTGATGACAACACTTTTGGCTACGTGAATGACCGATGTGGAGTTATTAGTGGAGTTCGTATAGGTCAAATTGGAGCACAATTTGACCTACCCAGCTCCTGCTTTGGCTCGGAGGCCGCTGATGACTTCAATGATTAGAATGGCTACCCGATGGCTGTACGGCACCTTAATTAAAAACATAAATATTTACCGTGCAGCAAAAAACTTGACAACTAAATTATTTGTAATATCTCCGATCTAAGAGGCCAAAAATTTGGTCATAGGTCTATGTTAAAATTTCCATTCCATGAATTTGAAACAATTTCCTTGCAGAAAATATTCAATGTAGCTTATGTCTTGAAATTTTTGTATTTGACTGCTTCGTTGATATAATAGTTCACACAACAATATAAACATTTTTACATGAAAAGCGCTTATTAGAGCAATTACACGGCATTAATTGCATGCTATTAATAATTAATGTATTTGATTTCGTTGAGTTGAGTTGACAAGCAGGACGGTCGGGCTGCGTGGCCTCCACTGCTTGTGCCATACACGGCATACGAGCAGCGCTGCTAATGATCACATCGCTCCTTTTGTGCGAGCCCTGCGACGAACTTGATGTGCTGAGTCCACTCAAGCAAATAGCTGCGACAATGTGAGCTTGCTTGTGAGTGAAAGGCCGCCGATGCTGGACTATTCAGATTGAGAACAATTGGATCGTAAGCTCAATAGTTGTAAATGCTGGTCAATGCGTTGTTTTATCACTATAGGTATGAGTGCGTTTGATTTTTATGAAGATGTGTTCTCAGCGTTATAGTTGCACTACTGATATGCATAGGTAGTCGGTAATAAAATTTATTACATAAATATTTTAACGTATCACATTCGCATGTATTAGAAGAGCTTATTTCAGCTAGGGATTATTCCGCCACAATTTTAACTTCCTAGTCGATAGAAGAAACTCAATTATTAATGAAGGTTGCTTTTGACTCCATGTATTTGCTGTTGAAGTTCTTTCTCTTGCTCTTGTTGCCTTAAAAGGTTTTGAAGACCCAGTGCTTGGAAGCTCTAATGTACCGCACTTCACTTACGAGATATGAACCTCCCACTGCTTCTCTTTATGTGGGCTGCACGTCTCAACCACTTACAGAATATCTATCGGGATAGTTTCGAAAAATTTCGTATAAATTATCAAAGAAATTACTAGATTACCACGTATCAAACATTGGTTACAACATAAGGAAAAGGAAACTCACGGAAAATATGGCTTAAGCACCGTCATTTTAATTCTAGAATGTTTAAATATTATGATTATTGTTCGCTGCTTACTTGAATTAACACGCTCCCCAATTGGAAGTTTTTGAAACATGAAATTGTGCTTTATGTAATTTGGACAAAATCATCGGTTGCGCTAAGCCCTTTCATTCACGAAACTTGATAATTCAACCTACTGATTTTCTTAAATTTCAAACTATATATAGCAGCCAACTCATGGGTCCACGATCCTACATGCACACGAGCATGAGTAAGGGCCGCATGAGTTTGTTATAGATGTGTCAATATGGCGCCACAAGAAGGTTAGCTTAGATCACCTCTCATCAAAGCCACTACAGGAAACCAGTTCTTCACAGGAAAAGATCGCTGCAACTATCACGTCAAAGGTTGAACCCTAAACACGCCTACTCTCACGTGGAGACTATAGGAAACGCTCATATACCTTTACTATATGCAGGTGTGTTTAAAAAAATATATGGCATGCAATGTATTTACTTTTTTATATATCATTTCGAGTGAAATAGTATCAAACTCAGTATCGCTGACTATTTACGCTTCCTATATTTCATCCATAACTTTTCATACTTGTGTATATATAGGAGAACAGTATAAAAATTCTTCGTTTATTAATTATGGATCATTTCGGATGTTTCTGTTTGATATCAGACTATATATATCGTGTGCTACGAATTTCAGTTAATCTATAATTTTTGACAAATTTGTAGTAGCCTAGCACGCGAAAGGTGATAGGTATATCTCTTTGAAACCTTCTGCAAAAAAAACACAAAATGGTCTATAATTTCCTTTACAAATTTAGTCACTGGTGTTTAAAAAATAAAATTTCAATTTTGAGCAACCCAGGTAAAATTCACATTCCCAACTCATGTTGTTGAATAAATAGTAAATTATCAGTAATAATGCGCGCTCATTTTACTTCCCTATAGAATCAATGGTAATTGCCAAAGACTCTGGGAAACTATTGTTCATGCATGAGTCACACGTCAGGGCATTCAGGTTCTTACAAATTCCATCGCTATTGATTTACCTGCACTATACACAGCTAAAAATTTGTTCTTCCTATCTAACACAATTTTTGCTAAAGCATAATCTGCATTACTGAAAGTATGAAGCTCCAGTATTAAGTTTCAGAAATTGATGTCATATTGAAAAATGGCGAAATATTTAATTTAAAAAAATTTAAACTCTCAATATCTTATTTTCCTGTATACCAGTAGATGCATTTTTACAGGATTTCTCTATTTTTTATGAACGATTCGAGTGCGTACATTTGTTAAGATGTCGATTTAAAGAAGAAACCATTTTGTCCCACTGAAGCGGAAATTTAAACGCGTTCCAAGAAGGCGGAACGACAAATCGGCGAAGTGCGAGCAAATTAATTAGCTGGTCACGATCCATCATTTGATAGCTATACAATTTCAAGTCTCTCTGCTATTTACATGCAATTCAGCATTTTTTGAAAACTCTTAAAGCTTTTGACTAATAAAATGTACTGAAACTTACATTTCAGTATATCAGTCACGTATACATTAAAACTTCGCTATTAGTTTATGCAAGCCATTCGCCGGGTCATGGACTCATGGTTATCTGTAAAAGGAACTTCGGCACGACCTGCCTCCTACGTGCTCCTCAGTCCTCACCGAGCCCTCAATTCTATCAAGAAATCATTGAAAGAGTTACTAGCTGTTTTGTTTTACACTATTGCCAGGAAATAATGAATTTGAATCGTTTGCCTAATTTTTTTTCCATCGTAATGAGAATTATAAGCCACTGTCTCTCATCATAGAACTATGTGACAATTAAGGACGATATGAATCATGCATGCATCATCGTCGTGGTGACGTATAGGTATGACGTGCTTGTGACTAGACTCAGCGTCACAAAGACGTCACAACGTTAAGATTTTTTGTGCCATTTTAAACTTTTTTATTACATTTTACTTTGCAGCATGTTATAATGTTTATTACATTAGAACGGTAATATATCTTTATCCTGAATCAAAATAAAAACATCTTTGCATTCAAAATGGTGAATTAAAATGATCAATACTAATGTTATTGCGATTAAATTGGAATTTATTATGGTTCTCTATCACAGTTACGACTTTCGTGTAGGAGGAGAAGGAGGAAATTGCAGGGAATGAGATGATAGGAAGCCCACACACTTGTGGAGTAGGACGTCGGTGTTAGACACATCCTACAAATATAAACAAATGATTTAAATTGAATACATCTGTTTCACATGCACAACAGATTGAAGGGAACTAATTTATTGACCTTCATACTTTTCTTTTCAGGAGCCTCATCTGGAATTCCTCTAGTCGTTGATATCGAGTACGCATAATTGCATAAGATAACGTTGCGATCGTCTGCAACTAAGTACGGTCGAGTTGCAGGACATCCCTGGATTGTGACGACAGGTCGGTCAGGTGCTGGCAGAGTGAGCTCAACCGTCAGTCTTAGGCGAGCAGTGCTGGAGGTAGGAGGTGCATCATCAAGCCTCCGTTGCCTCTGCACCTTCCATTGCAGCTAACTAGTTAGTGCCACCCAATCCACAACACTCAATCCACCTGTGTGTCAAAGTGCGGCCTTGGGCCATATAGTTACAAGTACAATGGGTGTTCAAGATGAAACTAAGAAAAGTGATACTAAAGAACAGGATTCACCTGCAAAAGTTAACAAGAAAGGATCAAAGAAAGATACCGTTGACAAAGAAAAATCACCCAAGAACAAAGCTTTCGATGGAAAAAAGAAGGAACAGTGCATCTGCCAGATATGCACCTGCGGGTAAGTAGTACTTAAAATGCTGTTTAAAATCATTATAATGAAATATTACTTGATCGCCAACCCCACAGGTCACCGGGACTGGTTTTGCGACAACACCTGAACGAGTGCTGAGGTTGTCTGGGTGGGTGGGTAGCAGGTTTTTTCTCTTTATTCCTTAATGAACTTAGGAATTTAATCATGTTCTCAAATGTCTCAGACTACTTTGCTTCATGATGAAGTTGACTAAGCGTTTCGAAATTATGGAACTGTTTTAGTATTGTTTCCAGGTGCGCATTGATATTCATGCCATTACAAAATCTCGGTGAGCTGCGAGCATAAGTAGAATAGAATAGAATAGAATAGAAGTGTAGGCGTTGAAGAAATAGGCCCATGGCCTGTTGCCGATTCTTGAACTTTTCGTGACTTGATTCACAAGGGAACCGGCCTTTGGAACCCGATCTTTCTATAGCTGACGATTGATTGAGATAGTTGCTGGACTTATTGCCTGTTCCGTAATTTGCTAGGCATTTTAAGACTGAACATATGCTCCTGCATAGCTTCGTCTAGTCTGTTTTTGAAGATGTTCATACTCGGAGCTTCAACGATGCTATCAGGGAGGCTGTTCCACATGTCGGTGACTCGAAGCGAGAAGCACTCGAAGCACATGGGATGTTCTATCTCGAAAGATAATATACTTTTGAATAAAATCAGAATAATATAGAAAATATGCATTTCTTGATGGATTTACAGGCGGAAAGAATGAAAATGTTGAGAATTTTTATGTAATGTTAAACGGTTGCATTTTTTTAGTGTCAGCGTTACACAATATTGACAATCCGTCGTAAATAGGCATGGACACTTTTTCTTACATAACTTTTTTGGACTACGTTTCAAATTTCAGATAATTATTTTCGTTTGAGGAACGAAAACAATCTAATTAGAGCAAACTCCGTTTTAGTCTGTTTGCTTTTAACATGTCGATAGCTCTATTTGAATTATACAGGGATAATTTTTATGTTTATCTTAAAATTTGCAGCGGTCATATAAAACGGCTCAGAGCGAGGCAAACTCCCTGCATGGACAACGCTTCTGTTTGCTGTCCACCCGAAAAGTATTTCAAATAAGCTGCTTAATAATTATCAATGAATATTTTAAACGATAAATATGTATGGTAGACGCAACTAATCAATTTACCTATGAACCACGACACGAATGATTTTTGATGGTTATTTTGCTACCTTTCTTCTATAGTTTCATTCATTGTTGAAGAAAGTACATTGTGATTCACGGAAACTCTCTGATTTGAAAGCTCAATAAAAAAGAACTAGTTAAGATATCATTACAATATACATTTTATTGAAAAAGACATTACTTTTATTTTTGTATCATTTTGTTTTAAAGACGACACTGGACAAATGACAGCCCCATTGTCAATGCATTCAGTTAGTCGATTTTTGAAGTTGAGTTCAACTCGCTAAAGCATATTGACGGGTATGTTGGCGATGGCTTGACGCATGTTGTTTTTTAAATGAGGTAGGGTCCTTGGACAGTCTTTGCAAACAATTGATTTAAGATAACCCCATAAGAAAAATCACACGGAGCCAAATCAAAGGAACAGGGCGGCCAAAGATGGGCACGTCTCAAGGAGATCAGCGCTCAGCCGAATGTTGTCTCAGACGCACGGCCGCGAGACAGCTCTGCAAAACGGCCACTTTAAAAGTACGAATCGACAGCAAACGTAAGCTGCTCACTTGTCCAATGCATAATGGCAACTAACTAGTCATTACACAAAACTTCATGTCCTTGCCTTTCATATGAAATACTCCCTGCTATTTTCCTACAACATCTGGCTGTTTGGCTCGAAAACATAACCGAGAATTTGCGTGAATCACCCTTTACAATCCACACACTGCAGCAATAGAAATAGCAGTAGCTGCAGTGGTGTCACCATTAATAAAAGTGTATATAAACACAATAAAAGCATCAAGGCTTGCACACATAATAGCAGCATTGGTAACCTAAGGTAACATCAGTACTGTTAACAAGTGTAGCGCGTTATTGCGGCTGTAACATCGTTGTATGCGTCAACAACCCAAATAGGGATAGTGGCAGATACAACCAAGTTGAATCAATAGGAATAGAGCGCTGCACGACCTACTGCATTAATTTTTCAACCACGTTGCACAAGAAGAACCAGCAGCAACAGTCATAAAAGTAACAGCAGCAGCAGTAGTAACAACAGCAGCAAAACCAGAGGCACCAACATTAGCAGCAGAAGTAGCAGCAACAGCTTTGGCAGCAGAAGCCATGCCTCGTCTGGAGGTTGGCGCAAGGTGAAAGGACTCGACCGACAACTCACAGCATCTTTAGCCTTGAAATGAACCTCTCGGTGGTATTTGATACCTTTTGGCAGTGCACTTCTCGGTGTACTAGTTAACTGGGATTTTATGGGAGCCAACTTGCATGCTTGCGACAGCACGCAACTAAAAGGCTTGCGATGCAAAGTTCTTAGCATGATATATCGATGTAGAATCTGAGTGGCTCATTTCACGATGTAGCGTTTGATCGATGGAGCTATATCTTTGCGAGGTTACTTATTACTTATTTTATTTATTATTTATTTTATTTATTTAGTTATTTTATTACTTTCAAAGAATGAAGTCTTTTAGTCTCCTGTCACCGATGATTTGTCTGCTAATAACGGTAAAAGAAGTCCAGAGTTCGAAACTCATGTATGGTATACGATTTAAATTAAAAAAAGTTCATTTTGTGTTTGAACCAAATTCCACCTAATATTGTGCAGAAGAATGCCGTGAAGTGTTGGGGGAAAAATTGAAATTGTTGACGCTGAGTTGGTAGTTTTATTTAATGTTTTGTAACAAATGTGTATAGAAAATAAATGAAATGTTCAAATAATGCATATTCTATAACTTCAAACATCTTCATTCTCCAGCTCTGTGCCTGCCGCTTCTGTTTTAGTTCTTTGTGGTTTTAACCTAAATAAATTTAAATGTCTTGCACCGCTGCCGACACTGACAACGAGTCGTGACCGACAAGCATGCGGGCTGCGATGCTGAGTTATTCCTCAATTTCCTGCTTCAGTTCACTACAGAGAATAGAGAAGTAAACTCTGCTCAAACATAACTGTAACCTGACTCTTCTCAAATTACGAGAACTTGACTTTTTTACACTCCTGTGCTGTTACTTAGTCAAAGACTGTAAGACGGAGGAATTGGAATCGATTTAGAAATGTAGAAAATAGTGTTGAACGTAATATTTGACTAGCACTTACGAGTATATAAACACTGCTCCGGTTTAAACTAACGGATTGCCATTGATGGCAGATGGCAAGGATGTTTGGCAGTTAACGATGTTTGGCAAGGTTTCGCTTGCCATCTGAAGCTCTTTTGGAACAAGTTTTAATTCTCAATTTGATGCGTGTGTAAAGTGCACAGCATAAGAAATGCAATTTTCGGTTATCACAAGGCTAAAAACGTAATTTTAATTTCAGGCGACATCGATGCCCGCACTCGAAGACGCCGAACGTTTGGCAGCACACGTCGCTGGTGGACGAGGACGCCGTGATGTCCTGCAGGAGTGAGCAGCATTCTGCCTTCACTGTGCACGGCACCAAGTCCACCTCCCACGAGTCGCAGCACAGCGAGCACACAAGTCATGAACTCAGGTATGAGTTCTTATGGAAATTTATGATTTTGTCATTATGCATCAAACATCAACTCATTTCAATTGAACAGGTACGATTTCTTATATGGAAATGAATGATTCAGTCACAATGCACCAAACATCAACTCATTTCAATTGGACAGGTACGATTTCTTATGGAAATGAATGATATAGTCATTATGCATCAAACATCAACTCATTTCAATTGGAATAACTAATCGGGATGCGTATTGAAATACAACCTTCCTTGAGTCGCGGGACAGGAAGTCCCACAAGTCATGAACTTAGGTACGATTTATTATATGGAAATCAATGATTTGGTCCCTATATATTAACTTGTTTCATTTTTCATAGCTAATCAGGTTGTGTATTGAAATGAATGACTCAATTAGCAAGTTTCAAAAGCGATTTAGTTTTAATGAACTGATGGAGTAATATATTTAATCAAGTTACGTGTTGAAAACTTGTCCACGTCATCAACAAAGAAAATTTTGTTTTTAGAAATAGTTTTTCAATCAACTCGATGAAAAATTTTCCTTTATGGTCATTTGGGATATTCCGATATTCCAATAAGTTTCTTTACTATTTCAACGTCATGTATGATTTTATTTGGCGTCTTAATAACTCGAGTATTGTAATTTGATTGATGGATCAGAGAAAGTGTTATTTCTGTACGCCCGTTATTAGATAAATTCTTCACGGTGAGCTTTTTGATCGGATCATTGATTATGAAAACGTCGTTTTGTTAAGCGAAATCAAACAAGCAGCATTCTTGCAATATGCGTGCTTCTGTGGGCCAAGATCTGATCGCATTCAATTGCCGTCAATTCATGTAGGATGTTGCGTGTGCTTCTCACTTTTAACTCAACTAACTGAGCGGACGAGCCGTGGCTATTGTGAGCGATGACTACAGCTGCAACTGCCTGCTTGAACACTTGTGGAATTGAATAATTTATATCAGACCTGCAAGTTTTCTTTTGTTTTTCGATTATATTAATGGTCGTGCATTTCTTGAGTAATAAGGATTTGAAACTTTGATGGGAATAACTATTGTATAGCACATAGACGTTCTATTTCTATACAAGATGCCTTTCAAGATAGTAGTGACTAGTGAGGGTCTATCGACCTGACTGCACGTGGTCATTGAACAGCTTTTACAGTATTTCTTTTCAAACGTATTGAAGATATTGAACAAAATTCGGAACACGATGAATACTTTATTATTTCAGGCATTACCTTGAGGCAATGCAAGTCAACCCTGCTCAATGTACGAGATATTCGTCTATATGCTGCGCGCTCTCGTTTGGGCCATCGGCGAAGGATTGTGCTCCAATTCTAGCGTGCATGCTTGTTCCCATTTTTAAATAATTGTTTATACGCGGAACTAATTCGCTGAAAATAATTTTAAATCCTATTGCACTGTCGGGGAGGATGAAGATTTCGCATAATTTCGTCCGTGTACACTCGTATTGATCGATTACGACTCCATTGGTAAACAAGGCTTGAGAGTGATCGCCATCTCTTATGTCCTATATACCGATTTTATTTATGACATCGACCGATACTTTTTCAAGAGAGCTCGCTAACACCTGCCGCGCTGCCTCGAGATACGTGGAAGACGACGTATTGAACGTTGTATGTTCGGTGCTCAGCTCATATAAACTTCGCTAGTTCCATGGCAAAGACGTCTGCTTAGTACTCGTTGCATTCAGCAGTAAATATTCATTCTCATTGCCGCGAAATATATTCACTATTTCTTGATCCTAAGATAATTTAGCTTACTTAATCTGAATAACTTCAAATTTACTTACATCGAACTGAACTAGGTTCCGGGAGATTTCAAACTTTGAACAAAGGATCAAATCTACCGTCATGATGAAAAAAATCGGAGACCAGTGCAGCTTACGGCAACTCGTATCAGATAAAAGTCATTGTTTTGAGACCGTGAATACAAGCGCACTCTCCGTGGCATGTGTCATTTGGCGGTACTCTTTACAGTTGATACTCGATGCAGTCATCAATTGTTCGTTGCACTTGTGGAGTGCAGCCCAGTGTCTCTCGGTCAATAGCGCCACGTCCAGGTTCGTAGTGTAGTTCCGCTCCAAGAGTTGACCAGAGTGAATCAGAATCACACTAAATATATAGTGTAGCTATTTCGTGACTTAGGCAGATGCTTTCTACGTCTGATTCAATAGAGGTTCTGTAATTTGTGAATATATTCGTCATTTTAATTTGCCGCTCGTGATTCGATATGCTTACTAAAATGTCACTCTTGGGGTAGATGGTATATCACTGTCATTGAATCGGTGTTTCTTTCTCCGTGTATTGTTTGGAATTTTGAGATTCTTTTAATAAATAGAAGATATTTTGTAGCAGTGTGTGTAGGCTAGTAATTTATAGTTTGTGTTTGATCTGCAGCTCATTTGGGTTCCACAAAAATGTGTTAGGAGGTCACGAGTAACACATATTACTTATTTTTACAATTTTTCACGGTCTAATTTCTACTAGTGGTTTTCATTTACATTTCTAGGCCTTCAGTTACTTTAATGCATGGAAGAAATCAAGTAGAGGAATATAATAATGAAGTTGTTTATTTACTGTCCACTAACATTTTAACGTGTCACAACTCGCAAAACATTCAATTTGACATTTGAATAATTATGCATTTTTACTCTATGAATCCATTTAGAGTGGTTATCGAATTTCTTGTTATAAAATTATTATCCCATAATATTATATATTCTTATTATAAAATGCCGCGATGAACATGCAATTTCTTTAAAAAATCTTCTCATTTTTTATTTATTTGACTTCAAATAATATTCGGGTCACTATTACCCAAAATGATAAATCATTCCTAGAGGCTAATTTAACCTAATTTGGGAGCCACCGTACTAACCTAGCCTAAACTCCATCTTAGTTTCATGAATGCGACGTCTTGGCTACAGTATTTAGTTTCACGAATACAGCGCATTGATTGCTGCACGCAGTTTCATGAATACGATGTGGTCGTATTTAGTTACATGAATACGACGTCTTGGTTGCCATCTTAAACTTTCACGGGTACAACGCCGTGGTGGCCGTAATTAGATCGCGAATACGACGCTTTGGTTGCCATCTATAGTTTCACGAATACGAAGCCTAGGTTACCGTATCTAATTTGAATACGACGCCTTGGTTATCGTACTTAATTTCATGAATACGACGTTTTGATTGCCATCTTCAGTTTCACTAATACAACGCTTTGGTTGTCATCTTTATTTTCACGGTTACGACGCCGTGGCTGCTATATTTAGTTTCACGTATACGACGCTTTGGTTGCCATCTTAGTTTCACGAATACGACGATTTGGTTGTCATCTTTAGTTTCACGAATACGAAGCCTAGGTTACCGTATCTAATTTGAATACGACGCCTTGGTTGTCGTACTTAATTTCATGAATACGACGTTTTGATTGCCATCTTCAGTTTCACGAATACGACGCTTTAATTGCCATCTTTATTTTCACGGTTACGACGCCGCGGTTGCTGTATTTAGTTTCACGTTTACGACGCCGCGGTTGCTATATTTAGTTTCACGTATACGACGCTTTGGTTGCCATCTTTAGTTTCACGAATACAACGCTTTGGTTGCCATCTTTATTTTCACGGTTACGACGCCGCGGTTGCTGTATTTAGTTTCACGTATACGACGCCGCGGTTGCTGTATTTAGTTTCACGAATACGACGCTTTGGTTGCAGGACGAGTGTCGAGGAGCACAGCAGAAGCGAGGTCGCTGGTCGCTCGTCTCAGACCCTGGAGGTGTCTGGAGTGTCCGTGGGGGGAGAGGCTCGGGCGACGGGTGTGTCCGGAGCATCGAATATGCAGGTGAACATTAATTGTTGTTATTTTATCTGATAATGAAATGAAAATTTGTTTTCTATTAATAAACACAATTTAAAAGATGAAGATAATTTTGCGAAAACTGTTTTGTTTTGGAGGCCGTTAACACTAAATTGCATGAAGTGTTTTCTTTTGCATTTTTGACTGATTTATTTCAAATAGGTTTATTATGTTTCAAATTTTGAGACTTAAAGTATAATTTATTTCAAATATTTTACTATGGAGACAGAAATTCCGCGCGATGGACGGAGTTTAGTGTCATTAAATTAATATGTAATAACGTAGATGTAGTAAAAATGCGTTATAATCCGAATTTTGTCAGCATTATTGGCCATGAAAGTATAAATTATGCCGTAACCTAAGACCATTGTAAAACAATATCATTTGACGAAATCAGTCATTTTTCAGACGCTGTCCGCTGGAGGAGCTTCCGTCTCCGGAGCCGTTGTGACTGCTGGTCCTCAAGGTATAAATTTCTTTGTAATGTTTGATTGAAACTTTTTCAAGTTGTTTTCCTTTCAAAAAATTCTGACTACCATTACGCAAGCCAGTTTTGCCTTAAATTGAAATAATATTTCAGGGGATAGTAATGTTCCCTTATTTAGTTGAATAGTAGGAAGGCTATTCACTGAACCTACGTGGGCGAACGAAGTGTTACAGCGCACGGCTATTAACGATGCTACGACATGCAATGTCACGCTTGCACTTCAGGGCTACTCATCGAAGACGGATCTCGGCCTATCGAAAGAAAATGTCTTCTCAGTTATTTCATGAGGATAATTTGGGAGTTTTGTTCCAAGTTTATTTTATTCCTAAAATTACTCGATAAAATTCTCTTAATTATTTCATTTGAAATTATGCTTTATTTACTTTTATTTGTTTTATTCTTTACGAATACGCCATTTATTCTACTTGCAGTTGCCCTTCTATATATTTATTAGTGTTTTCATTATTATTTTTTTGTGTTACGTGCAAATTCGTTTCATTATTTTTGTTTGTATCTTTAAAGAACTTGAGTTGAAGTCGACGACCAAGTCCCGCAAATTCTCGAAAAGCGAAAAATCTTCATCAGTTGAAGTTCGTAAAACTTCCTTCGAGAAACGAATCTCTAGCAAGTCCATGGAAAAAAAGAAATCCATTACGTCCACCAGCGGTGCTGTCGTCGAAGAATTCAGCGCCGACATGCACGAAGAAATGTCGGATATTAAGGAAAGCTCATCGATTCATCGATCTTCATCTAAATCTTCGAAAGAAATGATGTCTTCATCCACTTCCATGGAACAATCAAGCTCAATGCGAGCGGAAGAATCCTCGAAGTATGAGGACCGTCGCAGCATTTCAGGCGAGGTCATGTTAACTGAGGGCCATGAAACTACCGACACTCAAATCGAGGCTCGGATGAGCAGATCGGCTAGGTCATCACGCGTAGAGAAGTCCTCAGTGGAACAACGTAAGAGTTTGACGACAAGCATGCATCTCGAGTCGAGCCAGGAGCAAAGCAGCGACACAATTCATGCTTTCGAGGTCTCTGACGTGCGCGATATCAGCAGCCTGACTGAGGAGTCTACAGGTAGTAAAGTTAAATATTCAGTTGGTATTGAAATATTTTGCTTATCTCGTTACGCTACCAATTTATTGGTTAGAAGCTTGGCATGCGATGGAAAAAATTCGTTTGTTAGATTTTTTTTTTTATGAATGCAAGGTCAGCCAATTTTTGCGAGATTTCAATCTATTCAACAGTTTCTCAATGAGTTTATTAGGTGTAAGTTGCAGTAGATGGTGTGACTCTCTCGACATTATTTAATAATAAACCTTAGGGAAACTTCTATTAGAACACGGAAGTGCGTCAATTAATAAATATTATTCAATTTAATAAATTCAATTAAACAATTAAATTCAGGATTCATGAAGATAAAATACCTCGTCATCAAATAGAATTTAACTACTCCTTATGGTAAAGAGTAATTTCAAATAAATAAAATTCTGTAAAAACTGTATGCCCAACCAAGATGTATATCGTCAGCCTGCGAAATCTTCATGAAAGAATCTAGGATTTTACGAGATGATTTTTGCCAACAGCGGCGACGAAGCAAGTAATGGAGCAGACCAAGATGGTAACTCTCAAGGGTGCCACGGAAACGGATACTCGGAGCAGGCAACAAGTTAGAGGTAATTTAATCAATTCAAATGAGTTATACTTTAGTGAATTATAACTGGTATTCACGATGAAAAGTGAATTCTTCTTGGAATAACATACATGGTCACCTCCTTCCATATTTTTACAACAAAATATTGGGCTTGTCGGTGATTACTTTTTAAGTTCCCGGTAGCTCAGCTACGGACATCAAAGCTAAACTAATTCACGTTTGTTAAATAGTTCTCCTAATTTTTTGGTGATTGTTTCAGCCGCCGGAATTTCGTACAAAAACGAACAGCCCGTCTCGATCTCTGGGGAGCGCGTGAGAGCTACGCGTCCACAAGACAATCTGGCTCTCGACGGCGACTTTCAGGCACCTGAGCGGGAGGGACCTCCGGGCGCCGGCATCCGCGCCGACGTCAGGCGGCATAAGGACCATCTTGAGATGACTGGCGAGCTCGAAGGTATTCTGTTCTTATCAGTGTTGTGTTTTTGCTGTAGTAGAACATCGAGTCTCCAATCCAAATGACCCCCTAAATAACCCCATGTAAAATGCGGTTGTCAATCAAAATTATTTGCCGGGCGCCTTTTTCTCCTCGTACTATCGTTTCTATTTCCCTTTCTATTTTCTGGTCACCCTTGATATTTTCCCACATTTCCTAGTTGCACTGTCACTACAACCGTCTGTTACTATAAGAATTTTAAAATCAGAAAATTAAGTAGTAGGCGGAGTCTAGCCTTTGCTAAAGATTGGAGAACTTTGAGTAGCATGATCAATATAAAATCGAAAATATTAATTAATGTGCAGTTTTCAAACAATTGATTTGCCGTTCCAAAATATTATGGTTAAACTCAACGCCTAACATAATGGTATTCGCAACAAATTGTGGTATTAATGGTATTCGCATAGTATTTAGCCTTTATAATATTCTTTCCAGTAAGCTGAATTTCCCCTAATTTGTGTGCAGGAGTCAGCAGCTCTCAAAAGAGTTACTCGGTGGTCCATAAAAACGATGAAGTGATAAAGCATGCCAAAGTGCAAAAGAATAGCACTTGGTCACGTACTGAAGGAGAAATGTTTTTGAATAAGAAAAACACGGAATTCAGCTCAGTAGATCAAGTTGACAGAACTCGCATGATCAAAAGAGAGGACAATCTCTCCATGAGTGGTGAGTTTCAAGGGAAGATAACGGAGAGTCAGTCGTTTGGAAAAATAGAACAAGCTGCCATTAAGCGATACCCTGATAATCTCCGCAAGAGTGGCACGTTCGATGATTTAACTTTGGAAGAAATCAAGCGCTATCCGGATAATCTTCGAACGGACGATGATGGAAAGATCCGCAGCAGAAGCCGCAGTCCAACCAAAGGAGACAGAGCTACCATCAAACGATATAATGATAACTTGCGCTTGGAAGGCAGTTTTGAAACCACTGAAAAAACTGCTTTCGTAAAAGGAGAGAAAGCTGTTATTAGGAAGCACTCCGATAACTTACGCTCAGAAGGAGAAATACTCGTTGAGTCCAAAGATACTCAATTTGTGCGAGGAGAGCGAGTCAAAACAAGAAAACAAGAGGACAACTTAAAACTTCAAGGCTCGTTTGAAGGGCGGGAGGAATATAAAATTGTTAGAGGTGAGCGTGTGCTGATAAAGCGTAAGGAAGACAATCTCCACCTTGAAGGTGATTTCGTTGAACGTGAACAAGAAGTCTATCAAAAAGGAGAAAGAGTGAGCATGAGAAAGAGGAGTGATAACCTTCAGATCGAAGGGGAATTTGATGGGACGACTAGGCAGGAAGTAGTCGGTCGAGGAGAACGAGCTGAGGTTGTTAGACGTGAAGATAACCTCAGGATGACCGGTGAATTCGAAGGAACCGAAAAACAACAAGTGATGGTAGGAGAGCGAGCAACGTATAAAAGAAAAATGGATAATTTGAAAATGGCTGGAGATTTCGATGCTCCCACCCCTGGTGAAGCTCCAAAAGGTGAGAGAGCTCCAACGAAGCGCCATCCCGATACACTTCATTTGGAAGGCGATTTTTCGGCCCCCGAGAAAGACAAGGTAACGAAAGGTGAGCGAGCACCAACTAAACGTCATCCGGACAACCTCAGAATGGACGGCGACTTTGAGGGAAAGGAGGAAACTATGACTTATATGAGAGGCGATCGGGCTAATATTGTCAGAAAAACTGACACATTGTCGATGTCTGGTGAATTTACCGGAAAAGAATATGAAACCGTGCAAATGACTAAACGTTCTGAACTCGTGAAACGTGAAGATAATCTGACGATTGAAGGAGATTTTGATGCCCCATCAAAAGGAACGGCTCCTAAAGGGGAAAGGGCTCCAGTCAAAAGGCACTCGGATAACTTGGCGCTAGTTGGTGATTTCGATGCTCCTGAGAAAGCACCAGTTCAGCGAGGTGAACGGGCTCCTGCTAAGAAGCATTTGGACAACCTCCATATTACTGGGGACTTTGAGGGAAAAGAAACCGAAACGTTCATGCGTGCAGAAAGACAATCTATTGTGCGCAGAGAAGATAACCTTCACATGACCGGTGAATTTGTGGGCAAGGAGTATGAACAAGTTCGAGTTGGAGAGAGAGCAGAAATTCGCCGCAGGACTGACAACTTGAAAATGGAGGGAGACTTTGAAGCTCCTGATCATCCTGAAATAGCTCGTGGTGAGAGGGCGCCAGTCAGACGACACCCTGACAATTTAGAAGTAATCGGGGACTTCGAGGCTCCCGATAAAGGTGAGGCTCCCAGAGGAATACGTGCACCTGTCAAGAAACATTCAGATAATCTTCATTTGGCTGGTGAATTTGCTGCTCCTCGTCCTAGCGAAGTTCCTCGCGGAGAAAGAGTACCAATGAAGAAGCATCCCGATAATTTGAAAATGACGGGTGACTTCGAAGGCAAACTTCGGGAAGATGCTCCACTTGGCGAGCGAGAACCCGTCAGGCGTCACCCAGACAACCTTAAAATGGATGGTGATTTCGAGGCTCCTGAAAATGGTGAAGTTCCTAGAGGTGAACGAGCTCCAGTCAGAAGACACCCCGACAACTTGCGAATGGACGGCGAGTTTGAAGGTAAGCCAATGGGAGAAGTTCCAAAAGGCCAACGGGAACCCGCGAAACGTCGTCCGGATAACTTGAGGATGGATGGTGATTTTGAAGCCCCGGAGCATGAAGACGTGCCTCGTGGCGAACGAGCTCCTGTTAGGAAGCATCCGGACAATTTAAAAATGGTTGGCGATTTCGAGGGTAAGCCAGTGCAAGAAGTTCACAAAGGTCAACGAGAACCCGTCAAACGTCATCCTGATAACCTGAGAATGGACGGTGATTTCGTTGGTAAAGAAGAATACATAGTGCAAAGGGGCGAACGTGTTGAAATTCAGAAGCGTACAGATAACTTGAAAATGGCAGGAGAGTTCTATGGCAAGGAATATGAAGAAGTGAGGAGGGGTGAAAGAGTTGAAACTAAGCGTCACGTCGACAACTTGCGGATGGAGGGTGACTTTGATGCACCAGAACATGGCGAAGTCCTAAGAGGAGAAAGAGCGCCTATAAAAAAACATGCAGATAATCTGAAAATGGTCGGAGACTTTCAAGGCAAACCTCAGGAGGAAATTCCTTTCGTTCAACGAGAACCGGGTAAAAAACATGCCGACAATCTTTATATGGATGGTGATTTTGCTGCTCCAGAACAAGAAGATGCTCCAAGAGGTGAGAGAGTCCCAATTAAAAAGCACCCCGATAACCTTCGCATGACCGGGGATTTCCAAGCTCCAGAACAGGAGCGAGCTCCTAGAGGTGAGAGAGCTCCGGTGAAGAAACATCCCGACAATTTGCAGATGATCGGAGACTTCGAAGGGAAACCAAGAGAAGATGTTCCGTATGGAATACGAGAACCTATCAAACGACATCCGGATAATTTAACCATGACCGGTGAATTTATCGGAAAGGATCATGAAAAAGTAATGAAAGGGGAAAGGGTTGAGGTGGTCAGGCGCTCTGATAATCTTCATATGACAGGTGAGTTCATTGGTAAAGAATATCAACAAGTGTACGTCGGAGAGAGGGCCAAAATCACCCGTCATCACGACAACCTGATCATGGAAGGCGATTTTGAAACTCCTGATGTCGCTGATGCTCCGCGAGCCGAACGAGTAACAGTACGCAAACACCCCGATAATTTACAAATGACTGGAGATTTCCAAGGGAAACCTCGAGAAGTAGCCCCATACGTTCGACGAGAACCAGGGAAAAAGCATTCTGATAATCTTCAGATGACTGGGGATTTCACAGCCCCAGAGCAGCGAGATGCTCCCCGTGGTGAACGAGCTCCAGTGAGGAAGCATCCTGATAATTTGCAAATGGTCGGAGACTTCGAAGGAAAACCCTTCGAAGAAATACCATATGTAATCCGAGAACCGGGCAAGAAGCATCCTGACAACTTGCAAATGACTGGAGATTTCATAGCCCCAGAGCAGCGGGATGCTCCTCGAGGTGAACGGGCTCCAGTAAGGAAGCATCCAGATAACTTGCAAATGGTCGGAGACTTTGAAGGGAAACCACGCGAAGAGGTTCCGTATGTTGTTCGAGAACCCGGCAAAAAGCATCCAGACAACTTGCTAATGACTGGAGATTTCACTGCTCCAGAGCAGCGAGATGCTCCACGTGGTGAACGTGCTCCAGTGAGAAAGCATCCAGATAATTTGCAAATGGTCGGAGACTTCGAAGGGAAACCTCATGAAGAGGTTCCATATGTTGTCCGAGAACCTGGAAAGAAGCATCCTGACAACTTGCAAATGACTGGAGATTTCATGGCCCCAGAGCAGCGGGATGCTCCTCGAGGTGAACGAGCTCCAGTGAGGAAGCAGTCTCTTATACACATCTAGATGTGTATAAGAGACAGCTTTGAAGGGAAACCACGCGAAGAGGTTCCGTATGTTGTACGAGAACCTGGTAAAAAGCATCCCGACAACTTGCAGATGACTGGAGATTTCACAGGCCCAGAGCAGCAAGATGCTCCACGTGGTGAACGGGCTCCAGTAAGGAAGCATCCAGATAATTTGCAAATGGTCGGAGACTTCGAAGGGAAACCTCGTGAAGAGGTCCCGTATGTTGTCCGAGAACCTGGCAAAAAGCACCCCGACAACTTGCAGGTGACAGGTGATTTCACAGCACCAGAGCAGCGAGATGCTCCTAGAGGTGAACGAGCTCCAGTGAGGAAGCATCCAGATAATTTGCAAATGGTCGGAGACTTCGAAGGGAAACCCTTCGAAGAAATACCATATGTTGTCCGAGAACCTGGCAAGAAGCATCCTGACAACTTGCAAATGACTGGAGATTTCATAGCCCCAGAGCAGCGGGATGCTCCTCGAGGTGAACGGGCTCCAGTGAAGAAGCATCCAGATAATTTGCAAATGGTCGGAGACTTTGAAGGGAAACCTCGCGAAGAGGTTCCGTATGTTATCCGAGAACCTGGCAGAAGGCATCCCGACAATTTGCAGGTGACAGGAGATTTCGCAGCCCCAGAGCAGCGAGATGCTCCACGTGGTGAACGGGCTCCCGTGAGGAAGCATCCAGATAATTTGCAAATGGTTGGAAAATTCGAAGGGAAACCTCGTGAAGAGGTTCCGTATGTTGTCCGAGAACCTGGCAAAAAGCATCCTGACAACTTGCAAATGACTGGAGATTTCACAACACCAGAACAGCGAGATGCTCCTCGTGGTGAACGAGCTCCAGTGAAGAAGCATCCAGATAATTTGCAAATGGTCGGAGACTTCGAAGGAAAACCACGCGAAGAAATACCGTATGTTGTTCGAGAACCTGGCAAAAAATACCCTGATAATCTCCAGATGACCGGTGATTTCATAGCCCCAGAGCAGCGAGATGCTCCTCGTGGTGAACGAGCTCCAGTGAAGAAGCATCCAGATAATTTACAAATGGTCGGAGATTTCGAAGGGAAACCCATCGAAGATATACCATATGTTGTTCGAGAACCTGGCAAGAAGCATCCTGACAACCTGCAGATGACTGGAGATTTTGCTGCTCCTGACCAGAGAGATGCTCCTCGGGGTGAACGAGCTCCGGTGAAAAGACATCCAGATAATCTGAAAATGGTCGGAGACTTCGAAGGGAAACTCCGAGAAGAAATACCGTATGTTGTCCGAGAACCTGGCAAGAAGCATCCAGACAACTTGCAGATGACAGGCGACTTCACAGCTCCTGAATACAGAGATGCTCCCCGCGGAGAGAGGGCTCTAGTTCGGAAATATCCTGATAATCTACAAATGGACGGAGATTTTCTTGCACCAGAACACGCAGATGCTCCTCGTGGTGAGAGAGCACCTGTGACAAAACATCCTGACAATTTGAAAATGACGGGAGATTTCCAAGGTAAACCCCACGAAGAAATACCATATGTAGTTCGTGAGCCAGGTAAGAAACATCCAGATAATCTGAAGATGACAGGTGATTTCACTGCTCCTGAGCAGAGAGATGCACCTCGTGGTGAAAGAGCTCCGATCAAAAGACATCCTGATAATCTGGAAATGACGGGAGATTTCCACGCTCCTGAACAAGAAAAAGCTCCAAGAGGGGAGAGAGCTACAGTTACGAAGCATCCTGATAACTTGAAAATGGTTGGTGACTTTGAGAGCAAGCCTCGAGAAGAAGTTCCGTATGCGCAGCGGGCTCCAGTAAAACGTCATCCAGATAATTTAGAAATGACTGGAGAATTTACTGGAAAAGAGCTTGAACGGGTTGTCCGTGGCGAGAGAGTGGAAGTAATTAAACGAACTGACAATCTGCAAATGACTGGTGAATTCGTTGGAAAAGAGTACGAACAAGTCAGAGTTGGAGAAAGAGCTGAAATCACTCGCCACCGTGATACTTTAAAGATGGAAGGAGAATTTATAGCTCCAGAAGTTGGTGATGCACCAAAAGGCGATCGAGCTCCAATTAAGAGGCATCCCGACAATTTACAGATGGATGGAGATTTCATTGGAAAACCCAAGGATGAAGTTCAATATGTGCAACGAGAACCAATTAAGCGACATCTTGATAATCTATTCATGGATGGTGATTTTTCTGCTCCTGAGCCTAAAGATGCTCCCCGGGGTGAACGAGTTCCTACTAAAAGGCATCCGGATAATTTGACAATGGACGGAGACTTTGAAGGAAAACCTCATTATGAAGTGCCATATGGCCAACGGGAGCCAGTCAAGAAACATCCAGACAATCTGTTCGTGGATGGAGACTTTGTCGCACCAGAGCATGGAGAAGCACCTAGAGGTGAGCGTGCTCCTATCAAGAGGCATCCAGATAACTTGAAAATGTCAGGTGACTTTGAAGCTCCTGAAACTGAAAAGATTGAGAGAGGAGAACGAGCTCCCATCAAGAAGCACGAAGATAATTTGAAAATGGAAGGAGACTTCGTTGGTAAACCCAAAGGTCGTGCTCCTCGGGGAGAACGTCAGCCAGTAAAAAAACATCCAGACAATTTGTTGATGACGGGTGAGTTCACAACCAAGGAACAAGAGACTGTAGTTCGTGGAGAGCGAGCTGAAGTGCGAAAGAGAATCGATAATTTAAAGATGACCGGTGAATTCGTCGGAAAAGAATATGAAACTGTAACCGTTGGCGAGAGAGCTGAAGTGAAACGTCATGACGATAATTTGAGAATGGAGGGTGATTTCCAAGTACCGAGACCTATCGAAGTGGCTCGTGGAGAACGTGCACCTACCAAAAGGTATCCCGATAATTTGAAATCCGATGGCGATTTCGAAGGAAAGCCAAGGCCAGAAGCACCACGAGGAGAACGAGAGCCAACTAAGCGTCACATTGACAATCTCAAAATGACAGGAGAATTTACAGGGAAGGAAGAAGAAGTTGTTAACAGAGGGGAACGCGCAGAGATTCGTCGGCATGTAGATTCCCTTCAGATGACCGGCGAATTTGTTGGTAAGGAAACTCACGTGGTTACAAAAGGAGAACGCGCAGAAATTACACGGAGAGAAGACACTTTGAGACTGGAAGGAGATTTTTCTCCATCTAAACCCGGAGAAGCACCAAGAGGAGAACGTGCTCCTATCAAGAGACACCCTGATAACCTGCGCATGGATGGAGATTTCGAAGGAAAACCGAAGGAACCTGCTAATAGAGGCCAGAGGGAACCCAGTAAGAAGCATCCTGATAATCTCTTTATAGACGGTGATTTTGATGTACCGACGAAGAAAGGAGCTCCTCGCGGAGAGCGTGCACCAATAAAGAAACATCCTGATAACCTTAAAATGAAAGGAACTTTCGAAGATCATCGTGAGAAAGCTACTATAGTTCGCGGTGACCGTGTCAGCATCGTGCGGCATGATGATAACCTGAGGATGGACGGTGATTTCATGAGCAAGGATATTGAGAGGGCGGCTTATGGAGAACGTGTCACAATCAAGAAGCAAGAGGATAATCTGCGCATGGAAGGCATTTTTACCGGAAAAGAACACGAGAGTATCAAAATGGCTGAAAGAACTGAAGTTAGGAGACATGAAGACAATCTGAAAATGGTTGGTGAATTTTTCGCACCAGAGTCTGTTGGAGTTGTGAAAGGAGAACGAGCCGATATTGTGAGGCACGAAGACAATCTTAGAATGAAAGGAGAATTTTACGCTCCCGAGACCGGAGATGTTCCTCGAGGAGAGAGAGCTCCTGTTTCTCGTCATCCAGATCACCTTCGGCTTGATGGTGACTTCACAGGCAAAGAGATGGAATCATTCCGTTACGGCGAACGTTCCACCATCAAGAAGCATGAAGATACGCTGAAACTAGAAGGTGATTTCAAGGGAAAAGAAGTGGTGTCTTCTGTTGTAATAGGAGAACGTGCTACAACGAGAAGGCACAGCGACAACCTGAAAATGGAGGGAGAGCTAACTGTCGAGAAGAAGCAAGTTGCTACGAAAGGAACAAGAGCCGAAATTCGGAAGCATTCGGACCATATGCGTATGGAGGGCACTTTTGAAGGTCGAAAACAGACTCGTGTCGTAAAAGGCGAAAGGGCGACCATGAAAAAGCACGAGGATCATTTGAGAATTGAAGGCCGACACGAAATCCATGAAAAAGAATTCGTCGGAAAAGGGGAGAGAGCTGAGATGAAAAAATACGAAGATAATCTTAAAATGGAGGGAGTGTTCGAAGGTAAAGCGATCTCAAGCGTCACGCGAACTACTGAGAGAGCTCAGTTGAAAAAACCTAAGGATAATTTGCGGTCAGAAGATTCTCTAGAAGCCCGTCGCACTAATAATGTTGTGAGAGGAGAGCGTACAACCATGAAGAAACAGGAGGATAGCCTTCGAAAGGAAGACGAAATGCATGTCACGCAACAAACTAAAACAATAATAGGGGAACGATCGGAGACGAATATGCACGAAGAAATAACTCGGTCAGAACACACTTCAAGAACTGCAGTTACAGAAGGGATGAAGAGGAATGAAACCTTCCGTGTTAAAGGGGCTCGTTCTGAGATGGTGAAACAAGCCGATCATTTAAAAATGGAAGGCGAGTTTTACGCAACATCCTCTGACGTGAGCCCAAATCAAGGCTCTCGACCCCAAGTCAATGGCGACCGGGCTGGTCAGAAGCGTTATCCCGATAACCTTTCACTGAACGGTGATTTACCTGGACGTGATAAGGTCAGCCCTGGTGTTGGAGAAAGGCTTCCTCAGAAGCGCTACCCCGACAACCTTAAAATGGAAGGAAACTATGAAAGCAGAGAGCGACGAGTTGGAGCTGCTGGTCAGCGTATTCAAAGGACCCATCAGAAAGATTCGTCTTCTTCGTCGTTGGACGTTGCAAACTCAACCACAGGCAGTATGCGAGAAGTATACGGTGTTGATGGGTCGGTTGTTAGGACAGGAGCTCGAAAGGAAGTCTTGGGAGATGCCAAGGAATCAGTCCAGACAAGCTCAGTAACCACTGCAGATGGAAGGACAATTACTCGTGTAGTCAAAGAAGCTCGGATAAGCAAGTCTGCATCAAACGAGTCGGAAATGAAAAATTCATCAGAAAGAAAAGTAACTTCGGCGGAATCGCAAGAAACTAGCCAGAAAAAGGAAACTCAGAACGCCACCCGAGCATCTGTAGTGTCCACAAGAAGAGCTCAACATCAGTCATCTTTTAGTTTAGGCGAGGATTCGACCTCCATGACTGACGGAAAATCTGTCCGCAGAATCACTAAGACAGAAAAAAGCCTTGACGCCAAGCTTGGAACTTCAGCCACCCCGAAAGAAATGGCATCATCATTGCGTCAAGCTGAATCTCTGGACCTCCGCGGGGACGCTAAAATTGAAAGTTCAACAGCTCACTCATCATCTCATGCTTTGTCTTCGTCACAGCGCAGTCGCCAAGAAAGTCATTCGATACATCAGAGTGGCCAGCAGCACGAAGAGTACCAGAAGTGGTCGCACCACCAACACAGCGAGCAAAGGCGGTCAACGATCTCCAGCAGCGAGCGACGGTCAGAAGCTAGTGAAGGACGAGCCGTTCGTGGTCGTGCAAACGCTTCGTCAATAACATTCCATTCTGAGTATGACCCATGGAGGGATGCTACTATAACTCGCAAGGGAGAATGGAAAATCGTCACTCCGTGCCCTGCTTCGCTGCTCAATACGGATAAATCCCCGTATCAACCGACTCGCACAGCTCCCGAGCATAAGTTTTACATGCCTGTGATAGAACAGTAAAAATGTTGCGACACTTGTAGCTTAAAGAACATATTCAAATTTCCTAAATCAGAACGTAAATGTTAGAATGATAAATTGCTTGCAGAAAGGACATCGTGCAAGCTCTTTTTTCTTCCCGCTTTGAGTTCTAGATTGACAATAACTTATCCAGCTGCTGTTATTCCTAGTTGATAGTTTAACCATATTTCTAGTTAAGCAGCTGCTACTAATTCTCGAAGTCTAACTTTGCATCTATAATGTTAAGAAGAATTTCTTGCTGTTTTTGAACGGAAAATATCTTCGTACTCTAAGGCAATTATAATCAAGGATAATTTAATTCTAACTCTTCCTTTATTTCCCAATCTGATCAATTTTTATTCCTATTGTATGGTCAATGGTCTAGTGTGGCTACGATCATTTCTACAACTATGAAGAATATTTTATAAATCTATTTGATCTATTTTACAATTCACTGTCAATGAAAAGCCTGTTGATGGGTTAAGCAATTTATTTTATCACCTGCGTGATGTAAGTAGTAAGGAGAAAATTTTATGTTATTTATCAATGTTAATGTTAACAGCGAAATGCAATTCTTGCGCACTTATTTCAGCAACTAACACTCTGCTCGCCCTGTCGAGCGCAGCTTCTTTATTGGTTTATTGCAATAAAGAAAATTATAGTCATTAGTCAATGAAATGATTCACAGTACATGCTTGGCAAGTTGTTGATTGCTTCATTACCACCTGCATGTTGTTCACAGTTGCACGACACTTGTGATGCAAGGACACATAAAGAGATGCTTCAATACTACAAAAAATGCATGTATTTTAATTATTTCTGTTGATTATAATAATTTTGGCGCCTATATATGACTAAAACGGTACTCTGAAGAATTTTGATTATTCGAAATTATTGAAAAAGACAGAAACTAAAGTTATTCGTACAGAATAACATAAATTAAATTCTAGATTTAAAATAAAATTATTTTACTCAAGTTATTTGGGGAAGAGAGGGTTTGTTAATTTGACTGTCTTTCTAAGCTGAATGTTTTGCATGCATTTCTTGACCTCGTGGAAGCTAAGTTGAGACAAAAAGTCTTCAGCACTCTCAGGAATGTTTTGAAGAGTAACTAAAGCGTTTTGAAACCACCCGTGACTTGGCACTAACTTTGAAGTTAGCGCTCCAATGTCGGCAGGCGACGCAAAAAGGGCTTGCGCTCTCTTAGCCTCTAGGGTTATGAAATTATTGCCACTAGCCAAGAAATTAACTTAATTAAAATATTAATAAGTTCCCGCATCCAAGGACTTGTCCAAGAACTGTAAATAATTTTAATGCAAGTATGGGAAGTATTTATACACCACAACCTAATGGAGTCAGAGGCATTTAAATCTCTCGCGTTTGAACAAGAATTTTTTCTCAGCTTTTCGTGAGGCCAAATTTTAAATTCTGCTGAGAATTTCCAGGCTGTAGAATAAAAACTCGATAAACTACGGCCCATATTGGCTCATCAAAATTTAATCAGAGAACTTGAGGAAAGACACAAGTAGTATTAAAATGATATGATGAAAACTTTATTATCTTACAACACTGTAAAAGATTATCACTTAGAGCTCCGAAAGCATCCATGCATGTAGAGGACTCATTGCTTCAGCACCTCGGATCATTCACTGAGTAAATAAATAAGATAAAAGTTCGCAATGAATCACTTAAGCCTCGTCCATTTTATAATTAAAAGATTAGTCACAATATCAATATAAATCGGAACTAGTTTCACTATTTGTAATTTTTCTGATCAAAATCAGGTTTGTGATTTTTCATATTAAAATCAGGTATTTGTAGCTCCTTTCGACTATCTTAGTCAATCCATTATTTAGGCTTTTGAGTAGAACTGAAAGTAACAGGTTTGTTTCCGTTGTTAAAGTGAACGAACAACAATCTGAACAGTTTACAGAGTCGCGCGTATCAAATTTTCTGTACACGTAAATGAATATTTGAATCAGACTTAATAATGATCAAAATTCATGAACATATACTACCTGCTTCGATTTGCCTAGGCCCAATTTTTTTCTATGAGCAGCCTTTCGTTACCGAAGGCTGCAACGGACGAAATATCAAATCAGTTTACTATTATACATAAAATGGAAGTTTCTTATTTAAAAAAAACGTCCGTGTTGTCGAAGATAATTTTCGCCTTTCACGTATAAAAAGGGCTTATCATTAGCTGAAAAACTAAAACTCTCTACCAAAGGCTGTGGCCAAAGGACTAACCATCATCTGGAAGAACCAAAACTCGCCACCGAAGGCCATGGTGAAGAACTAAAATTCGCCACCGAAGGACATGGTGAAGAACTAAAATTCGCCACCGAAGGCCATGGTGAAGAACTAAAACTCGCCACCGAAGGCCATGTTGAAGAACTAAAACTCGTCACCGAAGGCCATGTTGAAGAACTAAAACTTGCCATCGAAGGCCAAGGTGAAGAACTAAAACTCGCCACCGAAGGCCAAGGTGAAGAACTAAAACTCGCCACCGAAGGCCATGGTGAAGAACTAAAACTCGCCACCAAAGGCCATGGTGAAGAACTAAAACTCGCCACCAAAGGCCATGGTGAGATATCGCTTGTAGGTAGCAATGTTGACGGCGGTGAGAAGCGAGGCGGGCACGGCGTAAGAGACGAACCTCTTGAAGGGGCAGCGGTCCAAGATCATCTGCCCTCTGGTGTGCGTGCCCTGATACCAGAACCCACAAAAGTCATTAACAATTTTATTATTAGATAGAAATTCAAACAATCTTCACTAGCATATGAATTGGCATATTCTGTCCTCTAGAAGACCCAATAAACTTGGAGCAGCGTACAAACGTGGTCAATTTTGCAGCTAAATACGCCATTCACCGATTTTTCGGAAGTTGACAGATTCAAATAGATAGTTAGGACCAGGTAAACTTATATTTAGATACATATATGTGACGCTTAGAATGAAAAACTAAAATAATGGTTAATCGAAAAATAAAGGGTTCAAAAATTAGGTTTAAATGTAAAGCAAATGATTTCAGCAGGAAATTATGTATTTAGCAGTGATGTCAGCAATACAACCATGGCACGTTTAGAGCCAGAATAATTTCACACCAACCTGCACTTCAACCGAGACGAAGGTTTCCATTTTTGCAAGACAAAGCGCTTCCCTCGTTTCTCCTGGTAAACGAATAACAAATTAGCGCATATAAATCAAGAGTTTATTATTTTTCCAAACTATTTTATCATAGACGCGCGAAGTGTGAAGGTTATTGTTTGAGACGCCTGGGTCCACGTACTACAAGGAGTTCGGTTCATTGGTTGACGATGAAGGGTGGACGGAAAAAGGAGGAAGTGGGTCAAAAAAATAAAAAGAAGAAAAAAAGGAAGAGAAACAAATCTGCAATGTCAAAAGAAACAACGAGCAAAGAGAAGGTAAAATATTCGGGAAGGACCAAGCTTCCAATACCTTTAGAGAGGAAGGCAGAGCTAATGGTGCCGGCGGTGGGCTACCGTTGTTTGACCACGTATTGTAAAGGTCGTCAAGAGTGTAAACTTTTTTATTTAGCATCGTGTGTAACGCTAAAAAACAAATGCACTAGACGTGAACGACAATCGAAAAAAATGATGAACGAGTGAATGACCTACATGTCGATGATTCGCTTGAGGATTCATTGAACATTCATTGCTCGTCATTCATTGAACTACGTATGGATCAGTGAATGAGACATTAGCCAGTGAATGGCACAGTTGCTTGTGAATGAAAAAAAATTGCTCGTGGATGAAAGACTTGTTCGTGAATAAATGAATTGCCTATGAATGACCAAGTTTACGGTGAATGATTGTTTGCACGTGAATGACAGATTTACACGAGCATACAGGCTACTACGTGAATGAAACAAATGTTGCATGAACGAATTGTCAGACGTTGAAAAACTGCATGCGAATGAAAGTACAAATAATGAATGAGTGAATCACAATTCAGCGAAATATAACAACATTACCCGTGGACTTGAGCGCGTCACCCACGAGCACGTCGAGCATCCACGCGGCAGCGATCTGGTCGCACGTGATCCACGTCCTGAAGAGCTTCTTGTCCATAGTACGAGCCTCGCCAGCGTTCAGCAGCGCAGCTTGTGGCGTCTCAAGACGACCTAACTCGAGTCTGTACTCCTGGGTAGTGAACACAACTCAGAAATAATAAATCGGACTTTATTTTTATATAGAGTTTCAACAGTTTTTCAAGTTTTCTAAAAACTTCATTTTCAATTACACTTAGGCGACGAATAATGATTCTGGATAAAGTGTAATACAACTCATTCTGGATACAACTCATGATATATAATATCAAAATCGGTTGTACTCGTATATTATAAAATACATATAAATGTCCGTGAATAAATACTATATCCGTTTAAATACTATTGAAGATGAAGTCCAAGTCAAGTCTGCACTCTTGTGCTTTGAGTTTAACAGATGATATGTTACTACTATATAATACTATAATGGATAAGTAATGGATACTATATATAATGGATAAATACTATATCCATTTAAATACTATTGAAGATGAAGTCTAAGTCAAGTCTGCACTCTTGTGCTTTGAGTTTAACAGATGATATGTTACTACTATATAATACTATAATGGATAAGTAATGGATACTATATAATGGATAAATACTATATCCATTTAAATACTATTGAAGATGAAGTCTAAGTCAAGCCTGCACTCTTGTGCTTTGAGTTTAACAGATGATACAGTATATGCTGTTAATATAACTTGAACATTTATGTTAAATTATAACTATTTTCAAATAAATGTCAAAAATTCAATGTTCATATAAATATAACTTTAGAAGTTGTTCAAGGCAAGCCGATGCTCTAGTCTAGTGCATTGAATATAACTTATAATACATACTGTCAATATCACTTGGTCATTTATATTAATATATATCAATTTTGATATGGATATCCATCACAAGCCTGCACTCGCGGGCATTTTATTCCATTGCAGACTGCGCTTATTGCTCAACATTTGTGAATTAGGCTTAAAATTCTTGAAAACCCATGTGCGAGAAGAAAAAAGCGGTACGAAAATGTGTAATGGCACAAAAATGAATTTTAAAGAATTTTTTTTTTAAATGAATTTTAAATTTTTTTATTAAAAATGATTGAAGTACTAGAGCTCGTCAATGAAAATACTTATTCAAGAAGGAATAAGAAGATAGCTTTTTTAGATTTTACCATATCACCGAGTCTAGATTAATTACAGATCTCTCGCAATCCCCCACGGAATGAGATTAGCTAAATTTTTGGCACCACTTCAGGCATCTTTGTTCGATGTCTGCACCAAAAATAAAAAGATTGTACAGATTTTGATATAATGATTAATGGCACACGGTAAGGAGTGAGAAAACACACAAATACAATTTCCTAACTTGGAGAATACCGTTCGTGTACTACATAACATGAATGAATTTGGTCACAGATACCCACATAAGGGATGTTGATTGCGCACAGACAAGTCTCCCAGGGCGTGATGAATATTGGGCACAACTTTGACTCAGCTTCTGATTCAGCTGAGCTCGGACCGTCCCAGCTCAGCACATTCTGAGCAGCTTCAGGGTCATTTAAGAAGTTGAATTCCCCGCACGCTGATTCGTTGCCCTCCCCTGAGACACAAATGTCAAGAATTTGGTGAACGTCGTTGAGGTTCGACGTACGTGCGAAGACATCGAATATGAAAACTTTGGACAAATGACAATAAAAGTGATTTTACCTTGTAAAAATGTGATATTATATTTCAACTTAATTTCATATAGTAAAGTTTTCAGACCTGTGGTGTTGCCGCCCATGATGTGTAGACTGGCAAGTCTGTACAGCAGACGAGGCTCCAGCATCTTGGCTACGGCCACGTTCGTCAGAGGCCCGATAGCCAGCAAATTGATCGATCCTGGCGCATGACTTGAATTTAAATCTCGGAAATTTTTTGTATGTCTCCACATGAACCGTAAATATAAATATATATTAATAATTTCTAAGATAATCATACACTTCCACGTGTTTTAATCAGCTGAGTATCGCAATATAATACAATTAAAATTAGATCAATAACAAAACTCTAACAAGTTCATTGAAAAAATTACCATGAAAGAATGAGAAATATGGTTTATGAATAAATTATATATATTTACAGAAAAAAAAGCTCATCCGTCATGCAGTTGGGATAGATGTCATTTTGAGCAATATAAAATGGAAGAATTAGGTTCTTTTAGAGTTCCACATTGATTCGATGATATTGGATTGGAAAAATTAGAGTCTCTGCTTCCTATATAAATAACTACACCTTTTACCTTCAGCCTCAATAGCAACCCAGTTATGGAGTATATGTTTAAAATAGAATAAATTTTTGGTTTTAGTTTTAGATGTTGATTTTTCACTCACACACAGCATAGAAACCATACAAAGAAAAATTAATGAGACTTTATTCAAATAGCGAAGCACTTCTTGCCTCGTGTGAGGTCACTCCGGATCAGTTTGGTTAGCAAATATCGAAGCTACGGTCGCTCCCTGCCCGTGTGCTGTAAGCAAGAAAGTTAATCACTGTTTGGATAACATGGCCCAGTAATATTTATTAGTGTATATAGCTCTCACCAGGCCGCTTCTGGACTTCTTCCACAATCTTGAGACTGGCAGGCATCTTCTGCAGATGCTTCTGAGGGTCGGGATGAGGGAGATCCGAGTCTCCAAAACCATCTTGGCCGTGAAATTCGGTCTCATTTATAAAGTATGGTCGAGTAATGGGACTCTTGGTGCCGCTAAATACGGGAATCTGGAACAGCATAATAAGGTAAAAACGCTAAAAATACTATCTATAAGAAAGACGATAGACTGAGATTCGACCGTTCACATTAACGTTAAAACCTTAAAAGAAAAGTGTCCAACAATAACACTGTAAATTGGATAATCAGCTCAAGATCAAGCGAAACCGAGCGTAAAACAGAAACTATAATTGTAATATTTATTAGCGCGTACCTGATCGAGCATGGAAATTTTGTCGAGAATCCTCAGTACGTTCCTATTGACATTATCGACGGTGGTGTTACCGTGGCACGTGGTAATGGCCACGATGTTCACGAGACGTTTCTTGTGGGCCTCCAGCAGCATGAATAGCGCCCCTGCATCGTCTATCCCTGCGTCGGTATCGACGATGATCCGAGGCAGGTCGTCGGTTCCACTCATGGTCTAACGTCAATGCAACACAGCACTTATGTCCCTTCAATTCGTATGATCTATTATATAAACAAAACTGGACCATAAATTTTAAGCGAAATTGAAATAGCTTTTTAATTATTATATGATGATCGAACAACTACCAGTTCTGAGTATTGACGAGCGACGAGTTGAGAGCAGTCTCTGCTGAGTGACGGTTCATGTGTCATTGAAGGTACAGTAGATAGTGACACTTGAATCTCTTTCGTTCAAATTGAATTATGGAAACAAAATCAACTGTAAGAAATAAAACGATCTAAGGAAATAAAATAAACTTAGTCTATTATTTGTGGTTTCTGATTTGTTGTTTCCAGTCATATTTGACTGGAAACAATATATTTTTTCCAGTCATATTTGACTGGCAAAAAAATATTCATCACAATGACAAAGAAATAATTAGCTCTAACAATGCATGGTGCTATAGGCCGCATATGAAATGTGGCATTTCATCAATTCAAATAGGTCAGTGGATGAAAAATGTCGGCTGCATCCAAAAAATATAATATGACTGTAACATCACATAAAGTTAATAGTATAATAGACGCAAAACAGTTCAACAAATGAAGAATATAGACTAATATAAAAACACTAATAATATGCGCCGAAATAAGCAGACGAACTCCGTGGGCTAACTTTGTCAAGCATGGTAAAGTGCAGCAAAAACGATGCTTAAGATATTACACGGGGCCAGTATTAGCTGCTAGTTTTCACACTCCCAGTTTTGCCGGCTGAGAGCCTATACACGAGGAGAGTATTTTATAAACAGTCCACCGGCCACTGACCGGTGCTGGACTGCCGGTGCCAGTGCGTAGTTGGAAGTCTTCGAGCGAGGTCGGTGCATGGTGGAATATGGAACGTAACGGAAAAGACGAGTTTGAGGAGGCGCTTGATGAAGCAGTTCGTGGCATAGATGCCACTCTAGCTGAGGTGGGGAAAAAATTTGTAGAGCAGTGCAGAGTGTGGGTGAGAGATCTAATATAGTCTCGATTCAGTTTCAAAACGCAATTTTTAGCGCATTTTCTCATCTATGGAAAAAATGCACTATTGTGCTCGCTATGTCCGTCTGTCTGTCCGTCCGTCTGTCCGAGAAAATGCGCTCTCTGTCACTCACTGCTGTGAGTACTGAGTTATATTATTTTTTTTCAATTAGTTAATGTTGGAATATTCATGGTGACGTACATTTCGCAGTAGATCGTACTTTTAGAACATCTATAAGAATGAACATCTATAAGAAGAATATAGAACATCTATAATATTCTATATAATAGGCCATGGGCCTATTTCTTCAACGCCGACACTTCTATTCTATTCTAATAGTTCAATATCATCTGAACACCGCTTGACGTTCTTAGAACCGTCGTTGCTGGGACATGACATAGTTCATAACATTAGAAGCACTTGCCACAAGAATACAGAGCAGCACGTACGTGGATACTAAAGCTGTCGCAGCGCTACTGCCGTACTGGACGGCACATTAACAACCTGGCAAAATCCACCAATCACAGACAAGAAAATAGAGCTCAAGTACTTTCGTTCACTTAGCGAGTTTTGAAAGTATGGCCCCTGAACGGCTTCAGACGCAGATGCATCAGCTACTCGCATCGGAAGAATAAATCATACCAATTTTCGGAGTGTGAGTACTTCCAGCTAATGCTAGCCCCGTGGCCCGTGTACAAGCTCTTTACTGTCAGGTTGTGATGTCATTACTGACTATTACGTCACCTTCTGTGACGTCACTACTCGTGGGTCACCGCGTATATAAGCTGAGAAAGCGCACTGTTAGTCAGTCCCAGCAGAGTCTCAGTCTTAGGCAGACAGCCTTCAGCTGCAGTCATGCAGACTCCGGCACTCAGACCAATATGTAGTGTCGTTAACTCTATCTCCCAATCTACTGCACATACTGTGCTTGATCCTGTAACTTCTATCGAGTGTATCCCATGAACCTTTCTTCAATACTTAAGCTTAGATACACGACTTGTTATTTATCCTTCCCTGGCCGATGAGTATTTAATCTGTTATTCGGACAATTTATAAATGAACCAAAACCCCTCAGGTCTATCTACGTCTAATTAGTAGATCAGACAGATCCATTCAAGGTTTTGCCTGTCAACCTCAGAACAG